TGGTGAAACGTTCTTAAGGTTCAGCTTCAGTGATGGTGATGTGAATTTAAGTGATGATGAGTGACAGTGAGGGTGAATGAAAGAGGGGGTGAGTAACAGTGAAGAATGAGGAGTGTAATAAGTGTGAGTGTGAATGTTAAGTATGATGAATGATTGACGTGGTTGTGTATGAATGAATGACAGGTATGAGTGAGCATGATAAAGTATGATGAATGATACAGAACTTTAGTATACATGGTAAGTATGATGAAATATGAGAGTTGGTGTACATGATAAGTATAATGAATGATACTCATGGGCGTGCATGGTAAAGAGGATACATGATAGTTGTTAGTGTACATGTGGAGCCGTGTGTGTGTGTGTGTGTGTGTGTGTGTGCGTGTGTGTGTGTGAGTGAGTGTGTTAACTTAGACACCCTCATCTTGAACCCCTCAACAGTTGACTTAACAAGCTACTAATTCACTTAACAGCCAATGACGTTTCTTTCTCTCGGCTCTTTAGTAACTTAAAGACAATAGCAGTAATCTTATTTACGAATTAAGCCCCTGAAGACTGGCAAAAATCTAACCCTCATCCAATTAGTCGCAGGATTCGTAAACTGCTCCTAACTTGACTCCTTCTCTTAGATCCTTCAGGTCGCCGGAGTCCTTTGAAGTGATGACCAAATTAAGACGTTTAGGTAATGTTTTGGAGTGTTTGTTTGTTTCTGTGTTTGTTTGTGTTTGTTTGCTACAGTTGTTGTGTTTTGTATGTTTTAATTTATATGTTGGTGAGTGGGAAGAGATTATACAGTGGATGGAACTTAGGAAGGGGAGATAACACACACACACACACACACACACACACACACACACACACACACACACACACACACACACACACACACACACACCACGTACAAACAAGGCTAAAGTTATGACATCCTCGTTCACCGGAAGCACAAGTCAAGGCTCATGTACTGTAGAGACTTGTGAGAAATTATCAGTTAAGTCAGCTTCCCTTAATGGCTGAATAAACAGCCTCCCTTCCTTCCCCCAACCCCCATTCCCCTCCCCCACATCCCCCTACCCTTCCATCCTTCTCCACCCCCCCCCTCCCCCAGCACGTGTTTGGCCACTGACCACTTACCTCCACTTGCTGTCAGTAACCGCCGGTCAGTTTGAGTTACCATAAGTTTGTTTCAGTCACAATCAGTCAGTATTACTCACTACCTGTAACAACTTCTTAGCGTTAGTCACCAACTTAACCTAATCCAACTTAAATTTAAACTAACCTAACCTAACCTAACCTAACCTAACCTAACCTAACCTAACCTAATTCATCTTAAACTTCAACTAACCTAAATCATTATGGTGATTTAGTTAGTAGTAGTAGTAGTGAGGATCGTTTTGCCTGGCAATAATGACTTTGGTCCAGGTATTAATGACAGAGTTTCAGGGATAACTACTATATAACCTAACAGACATAGCTTCCTGCCTCTATCATGGTCAAAAACGGCTCCTACCTCAACAACATTCACCTTAAGATACATTTAGTAAACCTGGAGACGAATTCAACCAGATGGAAAATTTCTCTTCACGTTTCGAGTTTCTGACATTGAGAATATCTGGTATAATGCTCGCTGGGTTTCCTGGGAGGTATTGTTGGGTCCTGGCACTCAAAGGTTCGATTGTGGGGTTACACCGATTCATTCCTCAAAGTTACCAACATCACACAGACACAAACGACTTACAACTCACGCTACTCTCGTTCGGTCGAAATCAACAATTTAACTCTTGAGTAAGGCAGACATGTAGGTCGTGTGGTACGGAAGGACTTGTGGCACAGAGAGAGGTTGAGTATGACTTGGGACCAATACACTCCCACTCACGTTTACATAAATCAAGGACCACCTGAAGATTAATCACCCTAGCGTAACCTAACATAATCGAAACCTTGATAGATAACCTTTGATGCAGTTGTCAGAAAACATTATATTTTTAACTTAGTCTTAGTCTTTCTCCCTCCTGTTCCTTCTTCCTCCTCCCTCGGGGTCTCTCTCTCACCTCCCTAGTTTATCTCGTCTCGTACTCAGTGTTATAACATCGCCTGGCTCGTAACACCTTAAAAAAATTCCAATATCCCCTAAGCCCTTACTGACGTCAATAAGGGCATCATCCAGCCTCTTATAATTCTATCCTTTATGAAACGTAACCTTATTTCCTCTTATTTTAAAACTTATTATCTTATTTATTATATTCGTTGTTTTAAAAAATCTTTGAGTTTTATGAAGTTTAGACGTAATTTTTTTATCTCTTAGTTTCTGATCATATTTTTTCGTCTTTGTCTTTCGTGTTTCAATCTTCTCTCTGACATTCAATTTTCTCTGTTCCATCGTCATTTCTTCGCCTCCTCTTCCTACCACTCCTCCTTCCCCTCTCCTCCTCCTCCTCCCTCAGGCACGCACCAATCTCCGTGTTACGCTCTGATTCTTGTATAATATTTTATTCTTATTAAATGTTCTTTGTTGTTTCTCTTATTCATTTATTCTTGCGGTGTTTCTTGTTTCTTCCTCTGTCATAACTCCTGTTGTGTAAATTGTCTTCCTCTTCTCTCCCTCTTCCACCTCTTCTTCTTCATTCTCCTACACCACGTATTCTTCTTTCTCTTTTTCCTCTTCTTGTCTTTGTACGCCACATTCTGCCTCTTCCTCCTCCTCCTCCTCACCACACACTACCTCCTCCTCGCGCCTCCTACCACACCTCTCACTGCCTCCTACCTCCCCCCCTCCTGCTCCTCCTCCTGCTCCTCCTCCTGTTCCTCTTCCTCACCACACACCACCTCCTACCCCTCCTCCTCCTCCTCCTGTTCCTCCTCCTCACCACACACCACCTCCTACCCCTCCTCCCCCTCCTCCCACAGCCTCCTAACCCCTCCCTCGACACCCTCATCTTTAATCTCACTCTTCAAGAAGATGCCTCAACCTTGTTCTCACATTCCATACCTGACACAGCAGAGGTCAAAGGTCAAGGTCATATAAGGACTTGGAAAGGGGAGGGGCTTATGCCATATTGTGCTCAGAGTAATGTACAGTGAAAAGGTGACGTGTGTGTGTGTGTGTGTGTGTGTGTGTGTGTGTGTGTGTGTGTCTTATATGCACAAACACCATTACCCTTTAACACCCCCACAACTACACCACAAACACAAAACAAACACAACACAAACACCCTTACCTTTTAACAGCCAACAAATAACACTGTCACTCCCGTTTGTGTCAGGTACATTAACATAACACTATTTTGCCCCCGCTACATATTCATAAAGGTACATGACACAGTAAATTTGGATACATATGTGTCAAGTGTATTTCGTTCTTTAGTGGTTGTTGTTGTTGTTGTTGTTGTTGTTGTTGTTAGTGGTGGTGATGGTGGTGCTGCTGTTGTTGTTGTTACTCTTCCGGTCATCAGTTATCATATGTTATCACTGTCACCAAACTCTGTCACACGGGGTAGTATAGAGGAAACCATTTACAGATCATGTGTTTTAAAGTTCACAGACCAGACGACCAATAAACCGCAGCCAACTGTAGCCAAATGGGGATAACTTTTTTTTTCGTGTTATATAACTTTTTTTTTTGGGGGAGGAGGAATGATTACATATGTGGTAAAACTGGTTATATAACTCGTGAATTATATAGAGGTGTCTTAATTATATGGATGGGAAGTTGGTTTAGGTAGGTTAGGTTTAAGGAGGTTAGGTTAGGTTTATACAAGGTGTCTCAAAAAATTATACAGGGTGTCTCCAAAAAAAATTATACAGGGTGTCTCCAAAAAAATTGCTCACACTGACCTATTGATTACCGTGGAGATCGCATGAATACTTGTACTAAAACATCAACATTGTCCTCAGTTATGGAGACCAAGCACATCAACACGTTAGGACAATGTTGTTGTTATACTTCGAACATTCACGCGATTTCCACGGTAATCTATAACGCAGAGTGTATAATTTTTGAGACACCCTGTATATATAATTTTTTTGATACATGTGTGCCAAATTATATGCTAAAATAGAATATAAATACATATAAGAATTATAGCTGAAGCTTCAGATTTGCTAGACTCAAAAAATCGTGTAAAATATCCCTGTATAATTATATTAACATCAAACTATAATTTAAATATTGAATCTTAAAATAATTATCGTGGAAAGTTATATTTATGAGAGAACTACTAAAGTGTGTTGTTATCTGACCATAAGAACTATAAAGGTAGAATAATTTGATAAAAGAACAGAAAACTACTCATAAAAATAGTCATAAAATATTGACCCAAATTATATAAAACGACAGAGCCAAGTATTATTATTTTAGTAGTAGTAGTAGTAGTAGTAGTAGTAGTAGTCTTATTATTATTATCATTACCTAAGACATAGAACTGTTTCCCTCACTCACAACTGACTGAACCTGGACAGAAAACAATGAACGTACACCGACTCCCTTGAGGCATTCATTCCCAAACTTCTGCAGATAATCTCACGAGCTGATTAAAAGTTACAACTCCAGCTGACAAAAATGACACTGACAGAGGCATCCGACACATAACTGAATGCCACCCAAAAAACTGTATTAGGATGATGGTGTTTTGGTAGAGATTAGTTTAGTTTAGGTTAGGTTAGGTTAGGTTAGGTTAGGTTAGGTTAGGTTAGGTTGTGAGGTGTTGGTTATACCCTTGGGGAGACTTAGTTTCACCTCGATATGAAAAGTCTTGGAGAGTTTTAATAGGAGTGGTCTAATGTTGTGGGAAGATGGATGTGTGTGTAGGGTTTTTTTATGGGGAGGCAAGATTATGGTATGAATAGGTGAATGGGTGTGTGGGGGAGGAAGGTGGTGTTGGTTGTGGTGTAACATGACCATGGGGAGACATGAATGGGTGTGGGAGGAAGGTGGTGGCACTGCTGGTGGTGGTGTGCGCGTGTGGAGTATGACACTGGCCGGTACATAAGCCAGTGAGAGCCACACACACAGCTCAGTCTTGCCGGAGCATCCACGGAGGTGCCAGGCGTCGCTCCCCTCTCCTGCCTCTCCCTCACTCCCACACTACCGTAGGAGGTGCCGTCGGGGGAAGACCTTTACGTTACTTCCTCCTACGGCTCTACTGCTACACAGGAATTACTACCTACTATACTTTTGCTTCTTTTAGGATATATTGAAAGTGTTGTTGTTTAAAACATTAAAACAGTGATAGAATTTAGTTACTATATACACTGAAGGGTAGCTAATGCCTCTAAACTAAACAACAACAAGACCTGCCAGTACTGAGCTGGGTGTTGACCACTTAACTCAGCTGGCCACAGACTCATCATGCTTGTGTGAGGCTAAACTTAACCTATGGATTTGAAAATAAAAAAATATCCATATATATTTAAACTCCCATTGTTGATGTCTCTTGTTAAATATTATTAAGCATACGATAAACAAAAGGTGTTTACGGTGAAGTGAAATCATAAACAAAATACTGACACACTTAGGAAAAGAAAATAACATACAAACTCTACTGTACTGTGTTGTTTACCAAGTGACGTAAGCAATTGACCCAACACGTCCTGGTGAGGGAGTTATGTAGGTGAGTACTGATCCCCCCCCGACCCACGTCCTGGTGAGGGAGTTATGTAGGTGAGTACTGATCCCTGACCAGCAGTACTAATTATTTACATTCACAATCTTTCTGTTTTCCATATATATCATTCAATCTTTTACATTTTTTCGACATGTATATAAATATTGTCCTAATCATCCCTCGTGTCAGATAACCCTACAAGCAGAGGTCAAATTCACCAAGGGTACGAATTTCACTAGTACCAATTACAAGCACTATGATATTTGGATACAAGCCCTGGTCTTGTTTCTGTGTCAAATATTTCGTAATTGGTCACGCATGGTTCAATTTACTAATTATCTTTCATTTCACCTCACACACACACACTGTTTACCTGGAGTTAGTACGTCCAGGTGTGTTAACCCGGTTGGCTTATCATATCTTAAATGTGTTATGGTAGTAATTTTTCTTTGGCTTAAACTACTGAAGATATTTAACTCAAACTACATCATTCAGGCATAATTGAGATGATTTATTCAGGTATATACGTGTATATACCTGTTATTAATGGGGTATATTCCAGGTATATATTGTTGTATATATATCAGGGATATTTAACCTCGGCTCAACATATCTCTGGCTCACGAAACCGAACTCAGGATTTACAGTCACCAAATAGTGAGAAAATATCAACATGATCACTCTAAGGTGACTGTATCCTCACTCATAACTCACTATATTAATCTACTTTAGTAAAAAAAAAAATAAGTTCGCTATAGATTTCAATATTTCTATCACCAAACACAATTAATATTACGGCAAAAATGCTTAATGAATTACTATAAAACTTAAGACTAATATTATAGTTTATATATTACGTTCTGGTTAGTGATAGTTCTATAATATGGCCAATGAGTGAATTACGATTATAGAAACTCGCTATAATGTTAGATTTTGACTTTGGTATAATTTTAATATATCTAAAAAAGGTATAATTCGTTAATTTAGGGTAAATATTCCTCTTCATTATCATCATATTTAACCCAGTTGTATTATACGTTATTGATATATTCCGTTATTTACGTAGGACGGAGTAAAGGAAAATTAACTTAAAAAATCAGGAATAACTAATGAAGGAAAAGCGTGAAAAAAACGACAATAAATGACTAGAAAAAACACACACACACACACACACACACACACACACACACACACACACACACACACACACCATTAAGGTACAACTCTCCCACCTGTTGCCCGTACCTGATGACGGGCGAGGTACTGAACACCACATTAGGAAACATATTCACGTTATGGGATTAAATCATATGAGGAAACACACATCAGGAGATAAGTGTTGTGTGTGTTGCCGGCGGAAAACATTACCAAACAAAATATTAAATAATTGTTTTCTTCTTTACGTAAAAAAATATATACAAAAAATATTAGTTATTATATATTACAACCCAATTATAATATTACTTAATGGACTAAAAATATACAATAAATACGGGAAAATAATTGATGAATCCAAACTATTAAAAAAATGTCTAGTATACATATCAAAGAGCAAATCACCACTAGCATGTATGTTCAGTTAATGTACAGTTATTCATACAAACCTATTTATGTGTGAAATTAATTATACGCCGTGTTAGGAGTCATCGTAATGCATATATAATTTAGATAGAATAATTATATGTATATTAGAAGGTCAGAAATTCGTGTTACAGTCTTAGATCAGAGGGCAACCAGGCTGTTCCACCTTCCTTAATCACTGCCATGTTGTTAGAGGAATACAATCAACATAACGATAATATCAATACATTTTAATAGTTAGGTTAGGTTAGATTAGGTTAGATTAGGTTAGATTAGGTTAGATTAGGTTAGATTAGGTTAGATTAGGTTAGGTTAGATTAGGTTAGATTAGGTTAGATTAGGTTAGGTTAGGTTAGGTTAGGTTAGGTTAAGCTATAGTTGTGACCATAGTGAGGAAGGCCCCCCACTGGCTCTCACAACACAGTGTCTATAAACAGTACAAAATATTCCCTGGTCTATAACTTCTCTTCCTCAACATTTATTCCCGGGTTTTGTTTCACATTATACTAACATATAATTACTGAGTATATTTAACAGAGTATAATACCACGTAGTGCTTTGTTATACTACAGGAGATTACAGGCTAGCTTCACGCTGTATCACTCTCTAGTTAAAACAAATGGCAGCATAATTACTGTCCTTCACTGGTGTATCCTGCTTGAGATACTCTCCTCAACTCACCTCCACCTGTGAGAGAAACATTACGACTATGTTGTTGAATTTATATATTGACTTATCCTAATATAACCTAACCTAACCTGAATTAACCGAATTTAACCTAACTTAACGTAATCTAATATAAGTTAACGCAACATATCTTAACCTAATTTAACCTAACATGACATAACCTAATGTAACCTCTAACTTCACGTAACGTAATATAACCTTAATATAATGGATAAATTCTATTATTTCTTACTGCAGGTCTCGTGTGTGTATGTGTGTGTGTGTGTGTATGTGTGTGTGTGTGTGTGTGTGTGTGTGTGTGTGTGTGTGTGTGTGTGTGTGTGTGTGTGTGTGTGTGTGTGTGTGTGTGTGTGTGTGTGTGTGTGTGTGTGTGTGTGTGTGTGTGTGTTGGTTGATGGGAGTTTATGAAGACTGAGACTGATGAGATGCAAATATAAGAGGGAGTTGCCACCACTGTTAGGGGGAGGGGGAGGGGGGGAGGAGGGGAGGATGAAGGAGGATGGAGTGAGGAAGGAGGATTAGGGAGGGTGAGGGAGGGGTAAGGGGGGTGAGGTGAGGGAGAGGTAAGGGAGAGGAGGTAAGGGAGGTGGTGGATGACATATAACTTTAGCTTCTGAATAAAAACAAATTTACTATGAATGAATGAATGACGATCCTAAGCTATATAATAAACCCACTGCCTCAGAGAAGAGTCATTCACTAACACCTGTAATTAGCAAGACATTATCACTCTACCTGTATATCACTTTCCTCCCTCCCTCATGTCTGTTCCACTTCCCTTACCTCTCTCCCTCCCTCTTGTCCTTATCACCCGTTCTTTCCGCTCTCCCTTCCGTTCTCCACCTCTCTCTCTCTCTCTCTCTCTCTCTCTCTCTCTCTCTCTCTCTCTCTCAATAGGTTTTAATAGAATTCAATAGCTTCCAATCGGTTTTAACAGGTACCAATAGCAGGTCGCAGCGCCATGGTCTGAGAAATTAATTAATATCAGAAAATTTACCTGAGCTGTTCTGTGGTTCGGACATACCAAACTGGGAATCTCAGAAAAAAGTATACAAACTTTCTTATAGACTTTATGAGAATATGTCTACATTTTTCTGAGACACAATAATCTCTATAGACACTGTTCCTATGGGGTAATCGTGCCTATGGACCTACTTTCACTTTTATATCGATAAGAGGATAAATTTTAAGACCGTAGATAAACACGATAGAACACATGCCTTGCCTCCAACACCTCTCGAGACTAAGAAGAAACTCCCTCTAAATATTTGACTTTATCACAAACATCTCAACACCTCCAACACCTCTCGAGACTAAGAAGAAACTCCCTCTAAATATTTGACTTTATCACAAACATCTCAACACCGAGGCAGCTTCCCGCTATGTATTAGAGACACGAGTGAGACTTTGCCCTAATTCATCATACACCGAAGAGCCAGACGTGTTTGGGTGTTTTTTTTCATTTTTTCGTTTTCGTGAGAGAATGTCGTGGAGTTTACACCTGTTGGGAGTCCACGTTACCATGTTATTCTGTTGAGGTGGTTAGTAAGAGGTGAGAGGAGGAGAAAGGAAGATAGAGGAAGTAGGAAGAGGATATAGGAAGAAAGAGAACGTTGAGGAGGAGGAGGAAGGAAGATTGAAGGAAGAAGGAGGGAAGAAAGCAAAGGAATCAGGAAGAAAACAGAATAAACAGGATGAGGGTAAAGAAGGAGGGAAAAAGGAAGGTGGTAAAAGGAGGTGAAGAAAGAAAGGAAGAAAGGAAGCCAAATGAAGAAAGGGGGAGGAGAAAAGTGGCAGGAAGATAGACAACGGAGGAGGAAGAAGTAAGGAGGAGAAAATGAAAGAAGAAAGAAAGGAGGAGGAGGAGGTGGAAGAGGAAGATCTTGACAGGTGTAGGAAGGATCAGGTGGATGGAAAGATGTCTCATGTTGTGATTAATTACCAGCGGAATGTTATGAACGGTCGTGTGTGTGTGTGTGTGACTAGCCAAAGAGTCCACTAAAATTACTAAATCAACATAAATACGACTGCTGTCCTGTCACCCCTCAACACAACACAACACAGGAGATATAACAACATGTCCACACTAGTCAGCCCTCTCTACCATTTCTACACGAGAATGATAACAAACTTCAGATAAAAGTCTCCATCAATTTAGCCAAACCTCTAGTAGTGTTCAGAGGCGTTAGTTTCTTAATATAACCTCATGAGAGTGAGTTTCCCATATTGTTGTTTTAAGGACAGATAATATGAACGGAAATCACACTGTTGTTATAATCTTGTCAGCAAAGTTTGGGAAAGGGATTTTATTAGCTTTTTTTAGCTTAGTGTTGAAATGTTAAATCAGACTTAAGAAAAATCAATGATAGTATTTATCGGTGGTGGTGGTGTGTGTGTGTGTGTGTGTGTGTGTGTGTGTGTGTGTGTGTGTGTGTGTGTATAAGTTTGTGTGTGTACGTGTGTATTAACGTCAAGATTCATGGGTCACCTGACAGGGCTCTAGGTTCTACAAGACGACCACACACATCACGGTAATATCCAGTCTGGCCGTACCATCCACACGCCCACCAGGAAATAGCCGGTAATATGTTGGCTGTCGGAGCCTTTTGTATGTAAACAATGCATCTCTGCCAGAAGTCCAATGAATTTTTTTTTAACATGGGTGGAGAGACGATGATGGCAGCAGCAGTGACCTCATGTAAATCTCCTGACTAACTTAAAACATTATCTTTTTCTTTACTGATAACTATTGAACCACATAACGGATATAAACACGTAAAAAAAAAGT